AGACAGACCCTCTTTTAACGCAGACAACATAGACTAAAGTACATCTGGTGTAATATAATTTCAAAATGGGAAAACGAGTTGTACTATCTTCAGTAGCTCGCATGAATTTTAACATTTAGGTCTTTGTTTATCTAAAACTTGACGATCCCCAAAACAGCGCCGAAGAAGTCGACAAAGAGCGCCGAGAAGAGGAACGACGGCGACGTAACGATCTTCTGATGAAAGCGTTGAGTGCCTTCTGAACGTTTCGATAAAGTGTCAAAAATTTACGCACACCCGATGCGTTCAACGATTGACAGATGATCTCGTACGACAGGTTGCCACACGCGCAAATACACAAATAAGCACAAATCGACGGAGAGTTTATGCTGTTTAGCATTGTATCATTCACTTATTGATTTTCTTATTATCTCGTGGAAGTTATTTTTCTATGTGTATGTACAGTATGTTTTTTAATATTATTGTGCTTTTTGTGCCTTCATTGTGTCTTATAAAAACGTTGATTTAATAATATAGGAAGATGCGGGATCATATGTGCTTTGCTCTCTCGCTTTCACTTCCTCTTATTCCTTAGCTGTGATAAGAGTTAGGAATTACCATCGTTAGTATTTCGCATGTTGTTATTTTATGCAGTCTCATCACTTTCTGACTCAGTCAATAAATCTTTTTTATGTGGCTGTTCCGATGACAGAAGAAAATATTAATAAGAAACTGGTACCTTGTTGATGACTAGTTTTTTAATGAGTCATCTTATAGTCGTGCAGAGATATCATCCAGAATGGCAGTAAATATTGTGTCAAATGAAGAAATCTCTGGTGCAAAAAATTTAGCTCATAATCTAACATGAGATAGGTCTCGCAGAGCTTACGCATTACTCTAGTTTTAAATCTTTGTACGAAAAGAAGGTGCCTCAAAAAACAAACCATGATACTTGAACATTTAAACTACCGATTTTCAACGGTTTTTTCTGACTTTCCTCAATGCTCAAAATCACTCTTGTCGACGAAAAACAGGAATTTTTGAACACGTGTTTAGTTCCTCTAGTATCTACGATGTCGTAGAGTTGTTCAAGCTTAGTTTCGAAGGATGTAAGGTTAGATAGAAGGTCAGGTTGCTTTAAAATGTTCCTTGCTAAACTAAATGATATTCCTTTTCCAAAGTTTCCCAA